TGATCCAAGCTAGACCTCCTGAGGGACCTGGAAGCACTGGACAACCATTTCACCCTAGTATGGGACTCCTAAACAATGAGCACCCACGATCCCGCCCACGGGGCTCGAACCCACGACCTGTCGGACTCGTGTGCGAACGCTGAAGCTCTAGACCATTGAGCCGGCATCCAACGCTGGTGATGTCTATCTTTAACCAAAACACCATTGTCCTCAGTGAGTTACTATCTCACAACAGACCCGGGATCATGGATGAGCACTGTCGAGAAGCCCCATACTACGACGAAACAACCGTCCAGTGTTTCCAAGTTTTCATGGTGGTCTAGCTTTAATTGACTCATATATTCAACTATTAACTTTATTCATAATTGCTCATGATATCACTATTTATTTTTTACACTTCTATAACCTTTGTTTCATATCAGATAAATATGAAAAAGCGAAAAGAATCTAATTCATTGATACTTTTACATTTCTTGTATAAATATCATTCTTATAGAAGGATTTGTTATTGTATATTTATTTATCATGGAAGATTACTTACTTACTTAATTACGCCTGTTATTCCCAATGGAGCATAGGCCATCGACCAACATTCTCCAACCCACTCTGTCATGGGCCTTCTTTTCTAGTTCTATCCAATTGTTGTTCATTCTTTTCATATGTGTATCCATTTCTCAGCATAATGTGTTCTTTGGTCTTCCTCTTCTCTTTAGGCCATGAGGATTACAAATGAGGGCGAGTTAGTTGTGTACAGGATGGGATCGGTAACCTCATGCTCAATCCTCCTCCTTTATCCGGAGCTTGGGACTAGCAGAGGGGTTCCAGGCGGAGTTATCATGGGGGATACAGTAAACAATTTAGAACTTAAACTAAATCTATTATGTTATAGTTAGGTTGTGGATTGTAATGAAATTCTGAATGTGCAGTTAATTTAATTTAAGATTCATCTTCTGGATCTATCTGTATTCTCTATGATTGATATGGACACTTAGTCTTGAACCTAGTATCCGCTACTTCAAACATTATTGTACTTTCTAAAGACTTTAGATAGTTATAAAGTTGTTAAAAACAAATATAAATCAGTTATGTAGCCGGAAATTTGGGTTTTTTCTAATAAGAATGACAATAATTATATAATATCAAGGTAATTATTATTATAGGACATACATTACGCAAATCATCAAACTGCATCGCAAGGCAAGCCCTGACCTGAAATCCTGAAGGGAAACGGAAAAGAGGAAGGTCAAAGAACACATTACGTCGGGAAATAGAAGCAGATATGAAAAGGATGAATAACAACTGGAAGGAGCTAGAAAGGATTGCCCAGGACAGAGTTGGATGGAGAATGCCGGTGAGCAGCCTATGCTCCTTCACGAGGAGAAGTCATACTAAAACAGTTCTCAAACCATTCAATTTAGCTATTAGATTAAGTGAAATTGAAGAGATCTTTCTATAAATTGACTTTTGTTTTAATCTATTTATATTTTATCTTTAATAAATGATAATTTGATTCATTTTCATTGAATATTAAGACTGGTACCCGTTAAGAAATAACAACTATATTCATAGAAAGAATAGTACCAGACAAATAATATGTTGTTGTAGAACTAGACAAATCATATTTGATCTTGAGAATCAATGATAAGACGTTTATGCGTACATGGACTTGAAACGAGTAAATTATTCACCTGGTCAAGGTTAACAACTATGCGCTTTTGTTTGAATTATTCTAGTGTTCCTTGTATAAACGCATGACTATTTGTTTTTGCATTCTTTATAGCTAATTGAGAAAGAGTGAATTGCAAAGTAAGTTTAAACCATTGGTTTTCAGTAAAGACGTATTGTAAATAGATTGTTTGTAGTTTTAAAAATTGAATTATGGATTTCCGATTACTTGAGTAGACACATACTGGTTATTGCATGGTTTGAATGTTCTGGTTGACTGCAAATTAGTGTGAAAACTAAAGCGCTACAACAATTCAATGATCTATAAATATCCGGTGGTCAATCTGTTATGAAGACTATAATTCGGACACTCACTCCAATAAACATATTACCGACATCACTACTTAGTTTATACACAAACACAGACAGCTTTTATAGATGCTTGCAGTACGGTAACACAAATACATCATGAAAACTTTTAATACATTAAAACATGTAGAACTAGATTAGCTACATATCTATTACTTTAATAATCATACACCCAATTTCTAACAAGAAATTATGATCTATGAAAAAAGCAACTTCACAGTGCAAATAAATACGGACACATATGACTAGACAATATCACGTACAACATGACAATTATATGTAATGCAAACAGGACTCTCTCTCTCTCTCATTCAATAGTTGAGCCTTCTGTATCCATGCTGAGATCTCGTCACACACCAGGCGAGTAGGGCTGATGAGAATCCCTAGATAGGGCCCCCAAATGTCCTGGTATGGCCAAAAGTGGGGTGAGCCCTCCCTCTCGACATGCACTCACATGAACACACACACACAGCCTCTGCCAGGGAACTCCTATCCACTGCCTTCACGTGGCGGGGGTGTTGCTTACGAAAATGAGAGGACGAAAAGCGAATGTCCGGCGCTTTAACCGGATTCCAAACCAATGGTGCACATGGGCTCCAGTATCCTGCGGGAACAAATGGCGTATGAACCAATTGTTGGTCACCGGCTACCATGGGACTTCATCTCTTTATGATGCTCCACTGCCTTGTGGATCTGACCTTCAGGTAGAAGGCTCCGGTTGTGGTCCCCTAATAAAACCACCTGGTTCGGTTTGGGAACCCGGGCAGTGTCACAGCCCTCACACATATCGAATGAGATTTGTGCGGCGCATATGTATTTGGTGCCTCATTGTACCAATATCTATGTGTTAAAATAAATCAATAAAACGGCATTCAGTAGTTGCCCTAAATACATCAAATTTACATTGGAACCAAAATTTCATTTCCTCGATGTTTCATTAAATAGAAGACAAGATGGTACATTACGGAAGGTCGATATAACGAAAATAAACTTGGAATTGATCCCTTCAAATAGAAAGAGAAAACAAATTCAATCTTTATCATCAACAGTTAAGTGAAAAAGCTCGGATAATATGATAGACGATGAGCTATTCAAACTCGACAAATATTTCTTAAGAACGGCTATCTATTCAGGTTTGTTGACCGGTACATCAGACCTAGATTACAATCTACAAGACCTCACATCGTTCCTGGGAAAACTCTCTCCATGAAAATCAAGTTCAAGGGAAACATCACTGTGGAAATTTTGATGGATCACCTACAGAAATCTCCGGGAAAGCTTTTCATACCACCAAGCTTCGAATTGTCTTTTCCAACCGTCCCATCATCCATCGATGTGTCAACAATAAATCCTCGTATTGGGTCACGTCAATCTGTTTAGAAATCCACCTGCTCTCATGGAGCAGGATACATCGGCCACACAAAGCAAGCGCTCCCCACACCTATCTCCAAACATAATCCTGTGTAGCTTACAGAAGGTTAACATAAAACAATCAACACTTCAATTTTAAAGCAATCTATGAACTTCAGACACATCGCCTTACTTGATATGTTCTTTCAAATAATCTAAACGGTCAAAAAGATTTGGCTCGATAGCAGCGCTAATTATTAACATAAACACTGCAGAAGCGCAAGCAATCCATCTTCTCGAAAGTGAAATCTATGGCAAAAGAGACACGTGAAATCCATCATTCTTTCATGCAGCTAACACTTTATTGTAACGAACGGCTATTTCATTTTATTACATCTTTCTAAAGCCTTTAATATCAATTTTAATGATTAGTTATTAAAACCTGCACGTTTCTAAGTCACTCTTCCTATTCTCGTCAACTGAAAAATCATTCCCCCTAAAATAAATTCCATCTTAACAACAATATCAACAAGGAGAAACACCGATCTGAAACACAACAACATACCAAATATTATTGTCTAGAAGTTCGGTTTATGGACATCTAGAAAATCCCAGACGCTTGCACAAACGTCTTAATCAAATGTGCATACCGATACTGGACACTACACTCACGTCCAAGCATACCCTCAAACATTTCCCACGGCTTAGTACCAACAGTTTTGTCTAACGATGACAAATACCCAAATAAACAGCGATATTAAAACAATTTGAGAGAAAATCGTAGGATTTCAAATCCGCTACATTTTCAAACTTGGACACCATACTGTATCCTTTACAACAGGGAAAACCCCACTATTCCAAGGAAAAAATAAATATATTTACTTACATAATTCAGGTACATAAACATATGCATTTAATTAATTACGCAAATAAGTGGTTGAATACATAAATAAAGAAACTATACAAATCATAGTAAAATTAACAATGATCATTGTTACCAGTCTTATTGACACTGGCAAATTACATCATAAATACAGTTTCACTACAACACAGAAATAAAACTCCAACACACACACACATATACACGAACTGTTCAGCATCATCAATCTACCAGATACACATTCAGTAGACATATTAATATCCCATAAATACTGACGAGGACAAGGATGATGACAACAGAAAATCATTGAAAAATTAGTCAATCCATCAACACACAAAGTATGTACACAAACAAACAGACACGCACAAACACAAAGTCAATGTGATGAGGAGGATAAAGAAGTAGAATGTCAGTAGTTTACCGGCTGTTTTTGTTGAGATGAGAAGGCAAAGTCAAATCAAAGCTAAGAAAGGAGAAGTATGACAAAATGCATAAATTTCATCACTAAGAAAATGAAAACAACAAGTCCCCTTCATCATATCAATCATGAGTTGTTAGTCAGCGTAGTTGTCGTTGCTGATACCGTTGGGCTATTATTGACAGCGGTGTGTGTGGTGGTGTTGGTAGTAGGGGTGATAGGGATCGAAGTACTCGGTGTGGTTGACATTGTCGTCGCTGTTGTCGCCGCCGCCACCGGCGCAGCTGTTGTTGTGGTAGTCGTTGTCGTTCGATGTACCGGGTCATGAGCGAACAGTGGAAAATCATTAGGCACTGGGATTAGTGGAACATAATTAGCTGGAATGTCTTTGAATACATCCACAACACCAATACAATCGATATTCGACGCCAATGTTTCACGCGTTTTCATTTCCCAATCAAGTTTCTGCACCATCATTAGTGACTCAGCTTCATGGAGTTGTCGACAGAGTAATTTCTTCTAAATACAAAAATGTACAAGCAAAAACACAGATGAGAGTGAGAGGAGGACATCATGAACAGATATAAAGCACCTAGTGTTGTTGTTACACTCTACAGTACACACGCAACGATTGATCCGCAACGTCTTCATACACACAACCAAGCTTCATCCAACATCTGTAACACCCCAGTCACAGTCATGAAATCCTACCCTTAGACTCAATTAACAGAGTGTAGAGATTTCATCCATAGAGTATTCTTACTGACTGAATTATTCTTTCATCTGCCAAGTGACACAGTGAGTCAATCAGAAGTGGCCAACCCAAAAGCTCACTCAATCACATTCAGAACTAATATGGAGGACTAGTGTATATCACTCGTTAAGAAATGAATTGATTTTCTACGGGATGTATAAAAATGAGTATTTGTGCATATCATTCGGTAGGGCAAAGTACTTTCCCATCCAATCATGTTTTTTCGCTTAAGTAGGCAGGTCGTGGATTAGTATGTAACACGTCATGTATCAAGATCAGATTTCCGACACTGTCCATCATAACAACAAAACACCTTATTTACTTATAGGTTAACACCGTTTATATGATAAATGCTCTTTTATATAGTCTCATTTCATTGTCAAGATGCTTGACTTTGTCGTCCGTACCAATATTTCCATTCATCCATCGTACCTGACAAATTCCTTCATGTTCTTATTTCACCGCAAAACAATTTCAACCATATTAATCAATCAACCATCAGTTTGACTTCAAAACGTTCAGAATTATCAGGTAACTTCACAACCCCAAAATAAATGACAATCAAATGATGCTTCAGCTCACCTTTTCATTCTGAAATGTATCGATAATGTCTTGAAGCCAACCGATAAATGTACGAGGGGTGAAACGATCGCGTATATTCTCTTCTTCCTGTAAACACACCAAAACATACACACAAAATTAGAGAATATGTACATATATAAACAGATAATACAACAATGTAAAAAGATACCTATGATGAATAGCAACTTACAATCATAAATGCTATTTCATCTGCTTCAATTACACACAACTGATAAAGCCCACAGTTCAAACAATCGACAAGCAAATTTCAAACAAATAAACAATGTTGCTTTTATGCAACATCCACACCACCACCACCACCACCACTACAAATATACAACTACAATAACACTGTAAATCACCAACTAAGTATGCACACTGTCTTCAGCCAAACCGTTGTTCATAATACGTAGGAGAATTAGCTCGTACAGTAGGTAAGTAATACTCTCTGCCATCAGACGTCTCATACTGCACTACTACACGGGGTGAGCTGATCCCCATCTCAACAATCCAAAAGATTTAATCTCAACAAAACAACATTCAACAAACCATCAGTATTCTTCTTCTCATTCACAACATGTACAATCGAATACAGTGAACAATTAATTTGCTCGGACAGCAGCAAAACAAAATTACGTTTAGAAAACCATAATACACAACAAAATCCAGTTGTGAAAATTACTCAATTCAACTAACTACAGAACCAGGGAACATCAACAACACAACACACAGTTGACGATAAAGTTCAAAACAAAACAACCACTCACAGCAACAAGTAGAAGTCACAAAGACAACACTATTCGCGATTGTTCACATTGAAGCATACTTTGTAACTACTAATACGACTACTACTCATTAACAATTACACAATTTCACAAGAAACAAGATTAGGAAACAGAAAATTCAACTGGATAAACGAATCCGAATGTACCGTTCAAAACATACACTATGATGGTTTTCAATTATCGATCAGCATCATCATGGTATCAAATTTTTCCTCCTCGAATGCTTCATAAAAATGTTTAATACGCTTTATGTAGCCCAATTCATGGCGCACTATTGTGCTTAGCTATTCCTTCTGTGGTGCTAATAATCATTATTACAATATAATAGTTAGAAAAATATATGATGTAATATCTTCCACACGGACAGTTTCTTACAACCAATCAAATATGGTACGAAAAACTCGCATATTCATAGTTCTTAGTAAAAAAGAAAATAATCACTAAAATCAGCCAATCCGCATGCAGTGGTTTTTAGCATTTGTTCAATCGGAAAGCCACACGTCGACATCCTAGAATGTTCTTCCAAAAGATGATTAGATGGAATGTCTTCGGCTTCCTTGAGTCCACCGAGAGCCATCTACACAGTGAGGAAGACCGATTTATTGTCTAATGTAAAATTACAGAGTTCTTTCGTGAAATGTGAAAACTATACATTTCACCACCATATCAAATAGTTCATTTGCGAATACTCCATCAATCAGCCTCTACATCCTTCATGATTGTTCCACTTCCCAATTCCTTCATATTTCTCTTTCTCTTTTCTTCAGTTCAATCTTCCCTACCTTTGGCTATCAGACATTTCATATCTGACTGTTGTTACAACACACTAATTACATCTGTCGAAATAAGTAGCATACACCACAAATGTACATATGAGTCGACAAACACAACATATGCGCCTACACATATTTTAAACAGTGGAGAGCAGCATTTCAACAAAATCGTTCTCCGTTTTGCAGTGGAATAAGGATCTTTATCTTATTAAAAGACCACAATCTCACAATATATTATGTCAACAGTAGTAACGATAACAACGAAGTTAAGAAACATACAGAAAACTCCAAAAACCAAGTCACATACGAACTCACCTTTACAAAACAATACACGGAAAACTAAACAAACCCACTCAACACAAGTCCATCATTTTGAAAACATTCTTCATTAACTCCCAGCACCAACACATTAATCTCGGCTTCACAACACACACACACACACTGCATACATACAAAACTAACATAAACCATATCACCAACAGATGATAAATATAAAGGATTGACAACATCTCACCACCTTCCAATATTCATATTCACATTGCCGACTAATATGACAACACATCACTGATTCGTTTCATAAACTCGAATTATATAAACATAAACAAACAAAACAGAGAAAACAAATATACTACTATTACTCACTCGATTCTCTAATTTACCAACTGGTGGAATATACGTCAAATCATTATAGGATAATATTGAACAAAACGAATATGGTTTCGATTGATTGGCCACTGCTAAAGCACCACGTGTTTGAGCACGTAAAACAGCTTGTTCTGCGCCCAGTTGTAAGTGTTCCTTCAATCAATAATAAAAGGCTGGAAAAAGTCAGCTGAAATAAACATTCAGTGTATTTCAAACAAACATTTGTCATTACCATAAGCATTCAGATCTGAAATCAACTAACGATTATGAAAATTACAATTCAAATGAAAAAACGTTGGCAAAATAATCCACAAATATCAACATTACGTTAATTCCGTACCAATCTCCCCGTCATTGACATACAAATACAGTCTATTCTCTTGTTCATACAACAAAATAAAGCATTTCACATTATTCATCAAAACCATTTTTACAACAGTGGACAATTTAAATTCACTTGATATTGTTTGGCTTGTATCTTCCTATTGAGGTTTGAGACTGCAACTGATCAGCCTGTTATTGGCATATGTGCATACCGTGCGTATGCCTCGATATTGCTTTAATTCACAAGCGTTTTGTAAGCAATGATGGATAGTGGCTAGCAGTGGAATCCAGGACGCGTGTTTCGTGGACAGTTTATTCCCTACTGCTCTCGTCGTCAACGATCTCCAAGTCACACTTACTATATGTCATATCTTTTACTTTAACAACTCTGTCGTCATTCAAATCCACACACACAACACAATGCTTAGATCACTACTACTAAGTATTGACAAAATATTTCACTTTCAATCACTCTATTTCTAATCATGCCCACACACAAAATACGCATCCAACACAGTAAATACCAACACTTACTCGTTCCGATTGATGTTTCAATGCCTGAGCATAGCGTTCTTCTTCTTGTTCATTGAATAATTCCACAAACGTCGCTTCCAAATGACTCGGTGCTGACTACATGATAAACAAATAAGACAAACAAATCGATTAATAAACAACTCACAAAAAACAAACAACGTCCTAAATGACTCATAGAATAAACTGCCTCAATGTTTACACATCTCATTCATGGCTGGAATAACCACTAAATCGTAAAACATCACAATGTTTCAGTCTTCACTTACTCATTCTAGTACATAACTTGACAATCAAGGTCACCCTAATGGTTAACAGTGTAGACACTCATTTATGAGTGAGTGCAATCACACAACAGGTCACACAGCTCACTGGAATGATCAATTAGTCACATATCATCAACGTAGTTGGGACCTCCACACAAACCTCTATCGATCAAAGCTGTCATCAAACACCTCACACACATCACAATACACAGCAACTAGCGTGATTCAAAACATCGGATCAAAAAAAAATTCTTTTTAATTAGATTCTCATCATGGCTCTACACTAATATATATCACTTACAATAATGAAATAGTACTCGTTGAGTAGTTATGTTACATAATAATTGTATAATGACACATTATTTATAAAATAATATTGAGTAATTGAAAGGAAGGGGATCATAGTAATCCAAGTAACCAATAGGAAATTTGAACAGTTACTGCAATGCACAATATACAAAAAGAAGGGACTAACATAATATTTTAATGAAAGGTCAGTATCATTGTAGTTATGTAAGAATCTAGAGACGATTGTTGAGAATATGTAAAAATACAAAAGTGGAAGAAATTGGAAAATAGTTCAAATATTTTTGAAGGAAAGGGTTACAAAAAAGTTCAGCTACAAATTCACTCCTATACCGATGGACAAAGTGGTGAGAATGGTTGCACAAATCTCTTTCGGATGTAAAGGTTTGGTTTATAAATATGGATTCCGATGGCTTCAGTGATATGCAACAGACGAACTCGTAAACCATATGGTAAATTTGATGGAATATAGTAGACAACCTTAAAAGTTTTATTCAAGTTAACTTGATGACATGTGTCCACAAAGTCAGCGGGAATAGAACTCTTAACCATTCTTATCTGTCCTTTGCTCAACCAACACGGACGGTACTCTGCAATACGATAACGAACTTGCCGAATTGTACACCCTACATAACTGGTTTCACAGAAATAGTTGAACTGGTAAATACACATGGATGTGGTGAATTCAGGTAGTCCGTCTTTATTATGAACCAGTTTTAAAAAACACAAACATACACACTTCAGGTCGAAAAACAAATTAGATCGAACAATAAACACTTACGAATGACAATGAGAAACTCAAGTCGCCAAATATCACATCATATTCAACGAATTAACATTATAAATCACCTTCACCAAACAAAACAGTATTTACAACTACTACAAAGCCAATAATTATCGTTTAAATACAACCAATACTGCCACTATCACTATACAACACTTACTCATTACTAAAAAACAATGCAGAAAATAATTAAAAAAACTTACACGTTTCACATATGTAGCAAATGAGAGTTGATTAGCCAATAGGTAATTACGAGTAACCAACAGGTAATCTTGATAACCACAAGGTGCTTTCGGATGGACCTTCACCAGATTATTGACAAGTTCACGCAACTGTTGTAGTAGTGTAGTTGATTGCATCAAAACAAGCCATGCAAAGAATTTACAAATCTCATTAGTACAGCTGTCATACATAAGGAGTTAAATTTATCGACATATATTTCACTCAAAACAAAGCAATCATTACAATATTTCTGTTAACACTTCCCCAGCAAACATTACACTATTACAAATACTACTACTGATAATACAATACTACTTAAATGTATCCCCATTCAACAACCAACCAACCAGTCAACATTCATTATCAATAATACTAACTGACTGAAACCACTTACATTCTTGTTCAGTTCAGCAGCTTTGTCATATGGATTTTGAAATTTCAACAACTCAACATCTTTACGATCTTCATCTCCAGGAGCAGAGGGACAAAATAAATAACTCATATCACAATCTGCTTCACTATAGCATCCACCTATCTGTTCCGCTAATGACGATGATGATGGAGTTGATGTTGCTATTCCTGCTACACCTACTGTTGTTGTTACCACCGTCGTCACTCCTACTTCGGAGACTGATGACACGACATTCACATCATTCGATCCATCCATATTCAATGTCACAACTGACACAGCAGTTCCACACATCTCTGGTTTCCCATCCACTTCCATTTTGTTGCTGTTATCATTGTCAGTAGTGGTGGTAGTAGTAGTAGTAGTATTAGTAGGAGTAGGAGTATGAGTATGAGTGGTAGTAGTAGCAGTAGTATTAGTAGAAGAAGAAGTGGTGGTAGACGATGAAACAGAATGTCCTCCTTCCATTTCAGAAACACAAGTCATATGCACATCAGTAGTATCTTTATCCGTCAGCACTGTAGACTGAGAGCTCCCGACAGACACCTTCTTCTCTTCATTATCCATGCGACTGTCACTTTGAGAAGAAGCAGTCACAGATGAACAACCATGTGTATCTTCCATCACATCCATGTTTGCAACAGCATTTGAAGACAACGACACATTAGAAGATTCAGTTGACGAACCAGCATGAACAGTTGTTACAGGTGAATTATTTGCATTTACTGTCCCAATTCCACCACCACTACGACTCTGTTGACTGATATTCTCATGATTTGTCACAGTATCCGAACGAGAACGAAGTTTACGCTTCTTAATCGGAGTAGCGTCATCCGCTAAATAGAGAAAAAATAGTGTCATCAACGTATATCAATTACATTCTACAAAACTGATAGAAAACATCACCACAATCTCACTGACTTTATGATCACTATTCACAGATGAGTTTTATACTCCAGAATGCTTCCATAAACGATGTACGACTTCCTAACATAGAATCGAAGCTGTTACCAAGCTTCCCATCAATCACTTGTTTCTTTCCAATAAACACCAAAATGAAATGTTCAAGAAAAATAAAGTCTTACTCACTTTCGGTTTTATGTGAGCTACCTTTCTGTAGTATTTCACCACTTCAATTACATTATTTTTACCTTGGCAATTTATTCTCACAATATTCTTGTGTCATTATGTGTGATGATGATGACGATGCATTTTCTAATGCCCTATAGTACCAAAGGATTGGCTGACCAACTGAATGAGTTATACATTTTTCACATATTCACATAATCAAATAGAAATTAAACCCTTTGGCAACAGACCAATGTGCATGTATTAAACTCGAGATTATTACAAAATTGAACCATTCATCCATCCATCTATCCATCCATTACACTACAAACAACAATCAATCGACACGACCATTGTTGCTACCTTGAAGTGGTGGTCGCGCTCGCCTATCGTGATGAAGCAACCGAGCTATACTAGCTGGAACAATCGTTCCTTAAGGACCTTCCATGTCAGATAGGTTGGTTGAAGAGTGGCAAGACTAAAGGCAACAAACCCAAGGTCTGAAGGCGAACGCGTACTGCTGAATGTACAGAGGTGTGACAGCAGTGAGCTGTTTCCTTCAGACAACCAGCACAACAGCGATGCTGCCTTCCCACAAAGAGGGGTGGGGTTAGAAAAGGTCGACCTCCAGAACAACCCTTCCACGGTGTGGGCAACCGGGAAGTGATAACCGCCCTCATACCTCCAACAGCACTCAAGACCACTGTATTCATAATCAACCTCAGTCTTCACTTCCTATTATTCCTCTTACATCGAGTTTCACCTTTAAACTTCCATTTTCGGCTTCCCCCTCAAGTGTCACCATAGCCAACGATTCTAGTGCTCAAAACATTATCCCAGGTCTACTGAAACCTCGCTCCAAACTACATATTGGAGCCTTCAAAGTACGCACCCTATGCCAAATCGGTTAGCAGGCTTCCTTGGCTAAAACCCTAGAATCTCGTACAATTGATGTACGCTGTGTCTCTGAAACAAGCATACAGGATCCCAGTGTGGTCATTCACTTGACCTCACCTCGGCAAAACGGAGAGCCAACGAGATACACCTTCCGTGTATCTGGTGACCCGATGGCCAGCTCTCGTGGACTGGCAGGAGTAGGCATAGCACTAAGCATGATGGCGAAACAAGCACTGTTAGAGTGGATCCTCGTTAACAGTCGTTTATGTGCTGTTCGGCTAAACGGCTCCGTAAGAACTCAGAAGGATAGGGACACACGTCGTTGCCTTTTGGTCGTTTCTGCCTACGCTCCTACCGACTGCAGCCCAGATGAAATGAAAGATGAATTTTACAGAAAGCTATCTGAACTTCTTCAGAAAGCTAAACGTTCAGACATAGTACTCGTAGCAGGTGAATTTAATGCCCAGATAGGTAGTTTAAACCAAACAGAAAAGCATTTAGGTGGGTATTTTAGTATTCCGGCACAACGAACAGACAATGGTGATCGTCTGCTGCAACTGTGCTCAGACAATCGTTTATTTTTAGCAAACACAAATTTTAAGCATAAGGAGAGACATCGTCTAACATGGCGACCCCCTACACCAAACCAACGATAAACTCAAATAGACCATATAGCCATCAGTCATACTTAGAGAGGGTCGGTTGAAGATTGTCGCTCATTCTGGAGTACCTGCTTGGACTCCGAACACGCCCTAATACGGGCACGCATCCATTTGCGCCTCACTGGACGCAAAAAAGCCACAGTAAAAAGACCCATTAGAACTGAGTTGAGTAACGAGAAAACCAAAAGTAGGTTCCAAGAACAACTGAGGTCACGATTAGGTAGTTCTGAAAACGAGGTTGACCCAGTTGTTGCTTGGAAAGCCATACAAACAGCTGTGGAAACAGCAGTGACATCTATCAGTGATTTAAACCACAGGGTTACAAAGAACCAATGGATTTCTTCAAAGTCTATCACACTGATGGATTCTCGTAAACTCGTCCCATCAGGTTCCGAACATGATGAAGAGCGACAACAAATCAGATCTACGTTAACCAAAAGTATAAGAAACGACCGTGAGCAGTGGTGGACAATGAAAGCAAAAGAGATGGAAAAGGCGGCGACTATAGGGAACACAAGACAGCTCTACAGACTAATAAAAGAAACTGGAATTAATAAGTCAAGTGTAAGTCACACTATTTCGGAAAAAGACGACACTCTCATCTGCTCCCAGTCCAGACGTTTAGAACGATGAGTGAAACATTTCAGAGAACAGTTCAGCTGACCTTCAGCTACTCTACAACTACCCTCCATTCCCAGACAGTGTGAATGGAACATTGAAGTAGGTCCCCCAACTCTTGCTGAAATTCAAAAGGCTATAGCTAATATGAAACGAGGAAGGGCAGCTGGTCCAGATGGATTGACTCCAGAGGTCTTTAAGGATGGTGGTCCAATTTTAGCAATTAGGTTGACTAATATTTTAGCTAAGATCTGGCAATTAGACGTTATTCCATCTGACTGGTCACAATCACTTATCGTCCCAATATATAAGAAAGGGTCAAAATCATCCTGTGACAACCATAGAGGGATTAGTTTAACTAATATAATATCTAAAATACTAGCCTCGATAATTATCAGACGCTTAACTAAGACTCGTGAACTGCAAACACGAGAGAATCAAGCTGGCTTCAGACCTGGTCGTGGCTGCATCGACCACATATTCAGCATTCGTCAGGTTCTAGAACACAGACATACTTATCGTCATCCGACAATGGTGGTCTCTTTCGACTTGAAAGCAGCATTTGAATCTGTAGACCGCGAGATTCTGTGGCAGCGTTTGTCGTTGAAAGGCGTACCTCAGAAATACATAAGCCTTGTGAAGGCTCTTTACTCGAACACTACTAGTCGAGTCAGAGCTTATGGCGAACTGTCATCTGCTTTTGCAACCTCAAGTGGCGTCCTTCAAGGCCGTCCACTTTCTCCATTTTTGACAAACTTCATCATACACCTATTGATGGAAATAACATTCTCATCTACTGAATTCTCGGGTATTGATCTCCTTCCAGGAGGTCCACTTATCGACTTAGAATACGCAAATGATATAGTCCTGTTTGGTGAGGACACTGATAAAATGCAGAGTCTTTTGGTAGCACTGAGCAACAATGCCAGGATTTTTGGGATGCGTTGCTCCCCCACTAAATGCAAGATGTTGCTTCAGGACTGGTCTGCGTTAACACCTGAACTAAGGATAGGAAGTGAAGCAGTCGAACGTGTTGACAACTTCACTTAACTTGGAAGTCTGATCAGCCCTAATGGGTTAGTGTCTGACAAAATCTCAGCACGGATTCGAAAAGCTCGCTTGGCTTTTGCCAACTTGCGTCACCTATGACAAAGTCGAGATATCCGTCTATCAATAAAAGGACGAGTATACTGCGCGGCAGTCCATTCTGTTTTAATTTACGGCAGCGAAACGTGATCATTAAGAGTAGAAGACACTCGTAAGCTACTAGTATTTGACCACAGATGCCTTAGAAATATCGCTGGCGTCTGCTGGGATCACCGGGTAAGTAATAGTGAGGTTAGACGCAGGGTATTAGGGAATGATGGTAAGTCAGTTGATGAGGTTGTGAATCTTCATCGACTGAGATGGTTGGGCCACGTGTTACGTATGCCCAAACACCGATTACCACGAAGTGCAATGCTAACCGGTGTTCGGGATGGTTGGAAGAAAGTTAGGGGTGGCCAAACCAAAACGTGGCATCAGTGCTTGAAGTCACTAACTTGTAGTCTGAGCCATGTTGGTAGATGCAGACTACTTGGTTGGGGTCCGCGTGACTATCTTAACCAATGGTTGGAGACTCTTAGTGACATGGCTCAGAATCGATCACAGTGGCGTCGGTGTATACACTCTCTGTCTTCTCTTAAACTAAGAGATTAAAATCGCTTTATATCTTTCTTTCTATGAACTAATTCTTTCTTCCTGTACTATATCTCTATATGCAATCTTTCTTTTATATATTACCACCACTGAATTAACTACTCCTATGTATCCGGTGTTCATCTTGTTGTGTTAATGAGGTATGGCAACTTGGACCGATACATATATGTGCCTGGTCCTACGGTGTAGCTGACTGACTGACTGACTGACTGACTGACTGACTGAATCAACACCAATAAAAGCAAAACTATGAATATAATCTAGTTACTTGACGATCACTTCTTTGCTGTCGCGTTTCACCCACTTAATACAGGGTAATTCATAAGTCCCAAACTTTATAGTACTAATGACACATACACAAATCTTCCACCACACTCCTCTTTCTACCTCATCAAATCAACACCAATTTCTTCTACAATTCGTCACAAACTGTTTCCTGTCAGTAAACAGGAATCGGAATCAAAACATTACAAACACTGAACTAACAAAATGCTTACTGTGACGTTCCTTCTCTTCTTTTTCACGTTGAGCAGCTGTATGTGAACGTAATGTACGCCCACTACGATGTCGATGAGTATCCTACAACATCAATACATCAAGAACGAAATAATCAGACAAATTGAGACAGATTCATACTAAATGTAACAAATCAAAGTGGAATTTCACCTTCAATAGAGTTCATCACCGAATGAAGGGGGCAGAGAGAGTTCAGTCAACCACAAAATATACAACAGGTTCATTCCATTAACAGTCAAAATCAACACAGGACACGAACAATGATAACAGTTATCAACACATCAACACAACATTCAAACCACTACAGTCTGTCTGAATTTATCACACATGCATTAAAAATTTAACTTTTGATGAAGTCGGAAATCTTCCATACAACTCAACAGTTCATCCTAAGCAACAACAATATCAATATATTGTTGACCAATGCTGGACTATGAAAATAAAGGACGCAATCATACGATCTGCGTGATGACTGTTCGCCGCATCTTATCATTAATGTAACCCTCATCCCGCACCGAATCACATCAATTCATCTCAGCTTTTTAGAAAACACACCAGCATTATGCCTCAGATTCATAGTCAAAACCTACCAAAAACCAACTAAAACACTTACACATTTAGAATGGATAAATTTCTCCCGAAAGTTATTCTGATCAAATACCATCATCTACTTTCTCATCAATAGCTACATCGAATCACACTTCAGTACGTTCAGTCACAATTACAACATTCAAGTGACTAATACAACTACGTACATCAACAAACATACAAAAACACGTAAACTCACTTTCGACACTTCTCGATTACCATTATTCGTATTATTACTATTATTATTACTTCGATTGTGCGTGTGGTTGTTGTTGTTGTTATTATTATTACTATTATTATTGCCACTCTTTCCATGACACTCACTCGTCTCCAGCGTATTATCCATCTTCACCCGATTAGCATTACTTGCATTACTTGCATTACTACGATTGCTATTCATCTCAACAGTGTTAACACCACTCGTAATATTCACACTAGTGTTCATCCCAGCACTAGTGATACATGTTGATGGGGGAGTACAAGATATGGACAACTCTGTACTCGATTCGTCATGGTGTACATTCGTTGCAACAACATGATCACAAGACTTAGATAACTTCTCATGGTAGCTAGAATATTGATCGTGCACAGTTTCGGTAGTGCCGGTAGCAGTAATGGTGGTAGTAGTACTACTGCCGCTGTTACCGTCGCCGATATTCTCCACGCTTGAACATGAAACTTTGTCAGGAACTGGAGCATTCAATGAAACGACACTCGTCGAAACCAGAGAAGTGACAGTGACTCCAACCTCCTTACCATCACTTTTGTTATTCACAGTCATCAAACCATCATCAGATACACGAGGTTTCACGTCGCATTTATCATTCATATTTGACTCATTAGTCCAATTATTCTCCACATTATTAATAGCATGAATTGCCAATCCACCACCAGTTGCTCCAACTGACATGCACGACGACGTCATTGATGATGACTCATCTCCAGAAGTACCCGAAGCAAATTTTATGCGTAAAGGAGGAACCTTCTGTGCCGAGATTTCTTCGCCTCCTGATGACTCTGAATGGCATGATGTAGACACCTGTCACAGAGAATTAACAGAAAAGAAAAAGCCCGTAGACACACGTGAATACAAACAACAAAATAATCATCATACTTCAAAATTCAGTAGGAAACTGTCTAAACTATAGAACGTGGCCCGACCGTTGTTGCTACCTTGAAGTGGTGGTCGCGCTCGCCTATCGTGATGAAGCAACCGAGCTATACTGGCTGGAACAATCGTTCCTCAAGGTCCTACCATGTCAGACAGGTCGGTTGAAGAGTGGTAAGACTAAAGGCAACAAACCCAAGGTCCGAAGGTAAAGTCGTACTGCTCACTGTACAGAGGTGTGTCATCAGTAAGGTGTTTCCTCCAGACAACCAGCACAACAGCGATGCTGCCTTCCCACAAGGATGAGTGGGGTTAGAAAAGGTCGACCCTAAAAACGCACACCTCACCTTATCCCACGGATATCCGTCTCCGGTGGTAAGGTCTCAACAAGTACGGAGCTAACACAAAAATTACCCATAAAAACGTCGTGTGTGGCCGACCTCAAGCAGTTGTCCCTTGGGCACTGCGGTCACGCTCTCAGGTCACTGAGACCACCTCTAATCCAATTTCCTTTTCAGCTACCTCCAGAACAAACCTTCCACGGTGTGGGCAACCGGGAAGTGATAACCGCCCTCATACCTCTAACAGCACTGATTGACTGACTGATATAACATGACGAAATGGAAGCGAATTCCTTTGTAGGACTAACATCTATACATCAGCTCATTCGCCATGTACTTGATTATGAGACACACTCTTAGAGTGACGGCCAATGTACTACCCAATAGCCCAAACCCAAATAGGTGGAGCACGGTTTGAAACTGTCATTTAGTGGCTGAAAGTCGAACACCTCAATCACTACACCAACGTTCCGAATCTGCAGGACCACAAAATACAAATACACACAATCACATAACAAATTCTCTACAAAACAAACAACGATCACAAAATATATTTACCAACTCAGACAATCAATTTAAAGACATAAACTCCTTTCCCTTACATTCATTCTAGTCAATATTGTAAAAATGCTACATTTAGAACCCCATTAAAATACCTAACACACACATATATACAACTCTATCATGGTAGGAAAGTATAATCATTTTCCCGACAACGACGGTAAACATGAGCTGTCACATATTCTTATCAACCTTATCACATTCCCACTCATTCATTAACACTTAGTGGTAACACTAGTCAGAACTTGAAATAGTATGTTTATTGTGACATGAGGTGTCCGATAGTTGATACTGATACACAAACTTTTCGTATACCAGCTCAACCGGTCAGTCAGCTGCAACATAGGACCAGGCACATATATGCAAGTTGCCACACCTCATTAACACAATAAAATGGTCATCAAATCCATAGGAGTAGTTACTTCAATGTTATGTATATATATATATATATATATATATATATATATATATATATCCTGATCGAAGCTGCTACCTTGACGCGGTGGTCGGGCTTGCCTATCGTGATGACCCAACCGAGCTATATTGGCTGGAACATATGTTCCTGCAGGTTCTACCATGCCAGGCAGGTCGATTGGAGAACGGTAAGACTAAAAGCAGCAACTCAAGGTCTGAGGGCAAAGTCGTACTGCTGACTGTACAGAGGTGTGACAGCAGTAAGGTGTTTCCCTCGGACAACCAGCATGACAGCGATGCTGCCTTCCCACAAAGAGGGGTGGGGTTAGAAAAGGTCGACCCTAAAAATGCACACCTCACCTTACCTCACGGATTTCCGTCTCCGGCGGTAAGGCCCCTTGAAGAACGGAGCTAACACGTCAAAAACCTTCCACAAAAAGGCCGTGCGCGACCGGCCTCAAGCAGTTGTCCCTTGGGCTCTGCGGTCACGCTCCCAGGTCGTCAAGACCAACACTAATCCAATTTCCTTTTCAGGTTCATCAAGAAATACCCTTCCACGGTGTGGGCAGCCGGGAAGTGACATCAGCCCTCATACCCGTAACAGCACAAGAGACCAAGGTGGTCACATTCAAATCCTTCCTACACCCCCTAATACCTCTCTTATCCTCCCGACTAACCCTCCTCACGTCTCATTATCACCTCGCACCGCTAGGGCAAACGATTCGAGTACGTGGAACGCCATTCCTGGTCTCCTGAAACCACGCTCTAAACTACACGTTGGAGCTTTTAACGTACGAACACTTTGCCAAATAGGACAGCAGGCTTCCTTAGCTAAAACTTTAGAATCTCGCGCCATCGATGTGTGCTGCGTCTCCGAAACGCGCATACAGGATCCAAGTAGCGTCATTCATTTGACCTCACCATGCCAAAATAAAGAACCGACTCGATTTACGCTTCGTGTATCTGGAAGCCCTGATTCTGCTTCCCGAGGCCTCGCCGGCGTAGGTATAGCATTGAGTCCTAGGGCAGAACTAGCTCTCTTAGAGTGGATCCCAGTAAACAGTCGTTTGTGCGCTGTCCGACTGAACGGAACAGTAAGAATCCGGAAAGATAGGGACACTCGTCGTTGCCTCTTCGTCGTCTCTGCCTATTCTCCCACTGACTGCAGCTCAGATGATGTAAAAGATGAGTTTTACAGAAAGCTTTCGGACCTTCTCCGAAAAGCTAAGCGCTCGGATGTAGTAATAGTTGCCGGTGACTTTAATGCTCAAGTAGGTAAACTAAGCGATAAGGAAAGACACCTAGGTGGATCCTATGGTGTCGTGGCTCAGAGAACAGATAATGGCGACCGTCTGTTGCAGCTATGCTCAGATAACCGCCTGTTCCTTGCAAATACTAACTTTAAGCATAAGGAAAAACATCTTTTAACATGGCGACCCCCTAATTCGTCCCAACGTTGGACCCAAATAGATCACATCGCTATCAGCCACCGATGGAGGGGCTCGATAGAAGACTGTCGCTCATTCTGGAGCACATGCCTAGATTCAGATCATGCTCTAGTGCGAGCGCGTATTTGCTTGCGTCTTACTGGACGTAGGAAAGATCCTGCAAGGAAACCTCTTAGGGCTCCACTTAATGATAGTCAAGCTAAGAATATATTTCAGGAACAACTAGGAAAACAGTTAGGCAGCCATGTATGTGATGCCCACCCCGAGGCAGCATGGAACGATATCCGAAAAGCTGTGGGAACAGCAGTGATATCTGCTAGTAAGGTAAACCGTAAAGTTAGGGAGCAACACTGGATCTCAGCAGCATCTATCGCACTGATAGATGCTCGAAAACTCATTCCACCTGGCTCTGAACATAATGAAGAGCGGAGTCAGCTTAAGCGCAAGCTGACAAGAAGTCTACGCAATGATCGCGAACAGTGGTGGGTAGCGAAAGCAAGAGAGATGGAAAAGGCAGCGGCAATAGGTAATAGCAGACAATTGTTTAGACTCGTTAAGGAAACCGGAATTAGGAACCCGACCGTTAGCGAAACAATCTCAGAGAAAGATGGACATATTATTCATTCTCAATCCAGGAGATTGGATCGATGGGCAGAACACTTTAGGGATCAGTTCAACTGGCCTTCAGCCACACTTCGGTTTCCCACGATCTCTAGTCAACCTGAATGGCAAGTTAATGTAAGTCCTCCGTCCCTTTACGAAGTTGAAAAAGCCATAGGAAATCTGAAACGAGGGAGAGCAGCAGGCCCTGACAGGTTTACTCCTGAGATTTTTAAGGATGGTGGTCCAGTATTAGCAATGAGATTAACTGAGGTCTTGGGTAGAATTTGGGAACTGGACGTAATCCCATCTGACTGGTCTCAATCACTGATTGTGCCAGTCTATAAGAAAGGACAAAAGTCCTCTTGTGACAATCACAGAGGAATCAGTTTGATATTAGCCTCAATAATACTTCGACGCCTAACTAAAGCTCGTGAAGAGCAGACTAGAGAAAACCAGGCTGGTTTTCGACCTGGACGTGATTGTATAGACTAGATACTCACACTACGTCAGGTTCTAGAACACAGACACACATTCAGACGCCCCACAATGGTAGTATTTCTCGACCTTAAGGCGGCATTCGACTCCGTTGATCGTGAGGTTCTATGGCAGTGTTTGTCACTGAAAGGAGTACCAAAGAAGTACATTAACCTTATAAAGGCTCTCTACTCGAACACAACTGGTAGAGTGAGAGCTTATGGCGAACTGTCATCAGAATTGATTACCTCAAGTGGTGTTCGTCAGGGCTGTCCACTCTCTCCATTCTTGTTCAACTTTGTCATTGACGTACTTTTAGAGATAACACTCTCCTCATCTAAATTTACAGGGGTTGAACTTCTACCAGGAGGTTCACTTGTTGACTTAGAATATGCAGATGACATAGTTTTATTTGGTGAAGACGCTGACAAAATGCAGAGTCTTCTGACCACTCTAAGCAACAATGCAAGCATGTTCGGGATGCGATTCTCTCCCTCGAAATGCAAAATGTTGCTTCAGGATTGGGTTACATCGACACCCGAACTAGTGATAGGGAGTGAAGTAGTTGAGTGTGTCGACCGCTTCACTTATCTTGGAAGTCTCATCAGCCCTTGTGGTTTGGTGTGTGACGAAATCTCAGCACGGATACAGAAGGCTCGACTAGCTTTTGCCAACTTGCGTCATTTATGGCGTAGGCGAGATATCCGTCTATCAACCAAAAGACGTGTTTACTGCGCAGCAGTTCGTTCCGTCCTACTTTATGGCAGTGAAACATGGCCGGTAAGAGTAGAGGATATCCGTAGGTTACAAGTATTTGATCAAAGGTGTCTTCGAAATATTGCTCGTATATCCTGGGACCATCGAGTAAGTAACACAGTTGTTAGGAAACGGGTACTAGGTAAGGATGGCAAATCAATTGATGACGTAGTGAAACTTCATCAGTTGAGATGGCTGGGACACGTGTTACGTATGCCCAACGACCGACTGCCTCGACGTGCTATGTTCAGTGGTATAGGAGTAGGTTGGAAGAAAGCTAGGGGCGGCCAAACCAAAACATGGCACAAGTCCATGAAGTCACTGACAAGTGAACTGAGTCATGTTGGTAGGTGTAGACTACCTGGTTGGGGACCGCGAGATGACAGCAACCGATGGTTAGAGACCCTGAATGACATGGCTCAAAATCGTTTGCAATGGCGCAGGTGCATCTACTCTTTGTGTTCTCCCAAACTCTAATCTTCTGAATTCTTCATGTCCCTTTTTTCCTCTTTCCAAATTTCTTTCACTGGATTATACTCTTTAAATAACATCTTCAAACCCTAATCTTTCCGATTACTGCTTATACTTTCACTACCTCTATCACTACGGGATTTGAATAGACAACTGTATCTATGAGCTAATGTGGTATGGTAACTCGAACTGATGTACGTACGTACGAAGTTCTACGTTGTTACTGACTGACTGAGTTATATAAATACTCCAGTGAAAACACTGACACTGAAAAAGGAAGTTTATTGACCACACCGAATCGACCGTGGGTGTACACATTCATACATAAACATATTTATTCCAATATTTGAGATCACGAGTCAATTGAAACTAGACCAGCATGGAAAACCTGGAAGCACTGGACGGCCGTTTCGTCTTGTTGTGAGACTCCTCAGCATATATTTATTCCTCACAAAATTAAGACACCACTAGAGTATATCACATCTCTTAGCAATAAAAGCCGTTTCCTGCTTAATCAAATGTACTTATCATTTGGCCGATTTCTGATTGACTCAATTTACCAGTGTTATTGTTAGTATTGAGGTTATTCGCCCTTTGATACATCACTTCACAATACCCCTCTTACAAAAATTCTAGAAGCATCCCAATAATAGTAATCATACGAAGAATCAGGACAAAAACAGTAACCCATGGTGACAATGATGAATATACTGTCGAAAATAGTCCTTAGATAAATACCCCCACTGCTCATCATCTTACAATTAGAGTACTGGGCAATAACCACAACAGTAGAATGTGCGATAAAGGGAAATATTCATGTGTAGATACACGTCCAACTGATCGAAACAACCAATAGACACAGAATGCAGTCACAGAGGTTTCACTTCCTGTCAAAAGCTTCATCTCCACATATAACGAGCGATATTAATCACTTGTGTTTGCGCTAAATTACAGGATTAGCAAATTCCAGTTCATCAGCTCACAATTGCACACCGCGACACTTAGACTACTCAGACAGTACAACTCCAATATTCACAATACACAATCCAAAACAATCACTCATATTTAAGCAATCCTACAATTCGCAATCTAAATGGTTTATTAAAACCCAACAGGTGAAACAAAGACAATTAGAACAACTGAGTCGTTAATTAACCAAACATTGTGCAAAAACACATACTTATGTACATACATACAAAGCAACAATACATTTCCTGATCTAAGGCTTTCGTTCTCACTCACAGACACTACTACATACACTTCTGACAATTTACTATCTACAGAAAGAGCAGTCACGAGACAAACGGACAACGGATACTTGATATATAACAGAACGAGTGTTTTAGCATCTGCTATTCTATCCTCAAAACAACTAAGCTCAGTTACTGTTTTTAACTCACAATAACAAGATAGGGAGATGAGGGTACAAGTATGAACTATAAATTAATGGTTACAAAATTAAGATGGGATACAAGTCACCGGTCAAAAAGTACATAATCATGAGCTCGGCTTCGTGATTCACACTATCGCTGTGTGTTTGACTGCTAGCATTACCACTTATCCGCTTTCAACATACCCGAAATTGGTTGAAAAGTGAATGTTTAAACCTAGAATAATAACCTGACCAACATCCAGGTTCACAAACTCGTAACTCAACAATGTCAAAAATCCGAAAACGGATTCTCACATAACCAATGTCAGTCATTGTACGCATGTCAATAAGAAAGAAGTTACTCAATTACAAACAACGGAACTGACAAACAGAACACACTAAATCGGTCAAACATATATATATATATATATATATATATATATATATATATATATATATATATATATATATATATATATATATATACTTTAACGACAGAGCTCATACATTAGACAGAAAAACAAAGTAACAAACTGGAAACCGTGATTAAGCAGTCAGGAGAACAGCCAAATTAACACACACACACATTCACATGTCAATCAATAACTAATACCACAACAGAAGATGAAATAAGTTATCAGCAATCGTTCTGAATGAACTATTGAGAGATCAGTCTTTAATAAGTAGTTCACTAGTCACCAACATCCCACCATTCAAATCACTTCATTACCACGAAATTACAACTACCACATGTTCATATTTCGACATCAATTATTAAACAGTGAAGTTAAACTATTTCTTTACCAGACAAATACAACATTCAACAACAAATCTATGACCAAATATTCACGCCCATTGTCATAGAAATCTCAAGCATAAAACTCTGACTAACATGACATCACTATTAAATAAATAAATAAATAAATAAATAAGATAATGTCTACATTTGACTACCCTGCACATACACACACACATCTAGCTGTTTTATATCGACCTACAATCCACAAAATTTAATCAGCAAATCCACCCAACACAGTATTAATCAGCTGGTTAGTAGATTGTACAAAATAAGCACTAAAGAACAGTTACAATTATTGTCATAATAATTGACTTACATGATTCAATTCTTCATCACCTGATACGGTGATTGGCTCACTTTTTATCGTCATCGATGTACCCATATTGGAGTTATGCTCATTACTGACATTATCGCTACTATTATTATTATTATTATTGTTATCAATATCCATTTGAAAATTCATGTTCTTGTTATCGTTGTCACTATCATTAATGACAGTGATATGAGATGCTTCAGTTGTTGTACAAATAATTCCACTTGATGAAGGAACAAGATTTGCATCACAATTCGAAAGGGATAAATCAATCTGTTGTTGTTGATGTTCCATCAAAGTATATTGACCGGCTTCTTTTGCAAAACGAAGCCGAAGTGGAGGCCCACCAATACTAGCACAGTTGTTGTTACTAGTTGTGTAATTGCTACTATTATTGGGAGCAGTAGTTGTAGTAAGAGCACTATTGATTGTACCAGTCAATGTCGTCAATGTATTATCGTTATTACTATCCAAAGTGGTATTTCCACACTCCACAGTTGTTGACAAATTGGAAGAAGACAGTTGGCGTGTGTGCTTTGAAAGTGAATCAATACTACCAAGACTGATATTACTATTTGGACTAGTATTCGTATTTGTATTGACAGAAGTAGTAGTAGTGGTGGTGGTGGTAATAGTAGTAGTAGTAGAAGAAGAAGAAATGGTAGAATTGGAAGAAGTTGACTTATTCAAATTGGCTGGACCACCAACACTAACACCACAACCAGAATGAACTCCAATATGTCCTGTCGCCTGTGTATTGGTATTATTACTATTATTAACACCAGACGCAGAATGAAGTAGTGAGTTCCCAGAATTGTTCACCGTCCCATCATTCTCATCATCTTCAAACGCGTAGGGATCTTTCTTCACTAGATGGAGACAAACATGAGCACGTACATAAAGACAGAGATCACAATTAGCAGTTTAACTATCTCAACAAACAACTTGTATGTTACTATTATTATTGGTAGTATTATTTATGTACTACTGTCATGCACAAACACATATATATGTCCCACCTTTTGTCTCTTCTAGTAAGTAAGTGATCACACACTCGATCAGTGTTATAGTGAAAATATTTTCAATGTGGAAACCACAAAAATAGCAATAACAACAATTATGATCGTATTTTTCCAAGTAACTTCACATTTGACTTGTCATGAAAAAAGTACTCCATAGGATGAACAATATGGTCATTTACACGCTCACACCAACGTTACTACTACAGTAGACATATGCAAAAACACTGAAACTATTTAAAAACTAATGCGAAGACTCTTACGTGCTTATTTATTGGCATAAAAATTGTTTGTATGCAACTGCTGGTAGTGAGTGTTTACCTTCATCGTCCCCTCCCTCTCCTCACCATCGTCTCTACGTAAGCGCATACCTGCATGCGCAAGTGCATCACAAGTATGTACACTTGACTGTTACTACAATAAAAGCGAAAGAAACTTTCTAAACCCCTGACCGACAGATGAGTTAGTGTACCTATGACTGCTAAACACAACACACAACCCATACCAGATAGAAATATACTATTACTTACTACTACTACTACTACTACTACTACTACTACTACTACTACTACTACTACTACTACTACTACTACTACTACTACTACTACTACTACTACTACTACTACTATTACCATTACGAACGATAAGTCGACTGCAACAGACATATACAGATATACAAGCAAATACAACAACACAAACACCAAATAGCCAACCCATGCTTCGTACCTACTACAAACAATGACAGACAAGCATAAACACATGGTAACAAATGACAACTTCATCTAGTCACCCATTTGTACAAACATCTAGACTAGTTGGCTGCTTGTTTATGCACGCGCACACATGCGCGTTTCACAGACAAGAGATTAATGAAGGCAAATGCCACTACTGATGCTAACTTAGCATTTGTTAACAGTAAACACTAATGTTCAAATGACATACAAACATGGGGAAATATATACACAAAACATCTCGTGATCCTCATTGGTTGCTTACATACCACACGAAATATGACATTAATGCAAATGAAAACATTGAACTTAAGTCAGCTGAACAAATTAAGACATTAAATAATAAAGGTTGATTCAGCGAAGAGTTCTCTTTTCGGCGAATTCATTTTTCAAAGCTGTACAGTCGCATATATATATATACTTATTTTTCAAGATGATAATAATGACAATAATAGTGATAATAAACTTTTGTTAAATATAATAGCAGTGAGATAGAATAAACAAAGGTATTTAAAAAAATTTAATACTGGAAACCAATAGTTTTACTGTTAAGGGTTTAAATATTCATCATATAGATAGATAGGAAAATTATCATTGGGAAAGAATGGCTTAGTGTGATAAGATCAGATGTAATCAGGAGGATCATAGAAGCAGGAAATACTTATCAAAACATGGGTATCCTTCTATATTTATTGACGAGAACATAAAACCTAAACCACCTAAAACATAAATAACATTAGTCGAAAAGAAAACACCACATGAACATCGATTTTAAGGGTGATAAAACTACAAACGTCCTAAAGAAGAGAATTTCTGAGTCTTTAAAAAGAGCGTTATTCGCAGCAACATTGCGAATCGTGTTCTCCAGCCGATCGTTGTCCATCAATAATCTTAAAGATAAATTATCTCATCTGATGTGCATTTACCAATTCACTTACTCGTGTGGAGCCAGGTATATAGGTCGTTCGATGAGTACTTTATACAAAAGAATTCAAGAACATTCCCCAGCGTGGCTAAGAAGAGGAAGAAACGGCTCAATAATCGAAAACCTTGTGAACACAGGTCATTCAATCAAGACAGACTCTGTGTTAAAAGTCATCTACAAGATAAGTAGAAGGCTGCCAAAAGCAGTTATATTGCATCTTCTTAAAATTGCCGAAGCAATAGTCATACATCTGAGCAAACCAGAATTGTATCCAAAGTAGATTGGTACAACTTCTTCCTCTACATGGTCTTAATATGTCTCATTTTTTCTCTTCTCCATACTTTCCTTCCTTTACAACTATCTGCTTCCCCTTCCATCTTTTCCATGAACCTTCTACCCCCGACTGGTTTATTTCTGCTTCTATGATCCTTCTGATTACATTTGATCTTATCACACTAAGCCATCCTTTCCCAATGATAATTTTCCTATCTATCTTTATGATGAATATTTAAACCCTTAACAATAAAATTATTGGTTTCAGGTATTAAACGTTTTTAAATACCTTTGTTTATTCTATCTCACTGCTATTATATTTAACAAAAGTTTATTATCACTATTATTGTCATTATTATCATCTTGAAAAATAAGTATATATATATATGCGACTGTACAGCTTTGAAAAATGAATTCGCCGAAAAGAGAACCCTTCTCTGAATCAACCTTTATTATTTAATGTCTCAATGAATGTATTCCGTTCACTAAAAAATAAAGATAAGCAATATTCCAAAAATGTAGAACAAGCATTAATTTCAGCTGACTGCTGGGTAACGTTAACTAGACAAATACGTAAGAGATGACATAGGTCAAATCTGACACCATGACAATCCGATTGTGTGATAAGAAGCCACTAGCCGATGGACTTTTGATTCATATAGTAGACCTGCCGGCTACGAAACATCCCTTTCATCTCAACAAACTAGTATAGATGCATTCATCTCTCGTTTTCCACGAAATCTTGACTCTTAGCATCAATTCATACTCGACATTTTACTATCTTATTCTTTCTTTTGAAGCATTCTCCCTACCTTGAGCTTTTATCACCACAGACATATAATTCCCGCAATAAACATGTCTATCACATTCCACTATGCTAACAACTAGTAAGATATACACGGCAATCACATAAGTCCCCACCTACCTTTCACAAAACTCAGCGGATAACAAATAGACAGTTTTTTAAGGTCATAATTAAGGGGAACCTAGTTACTTATCACTCATAATACATTCATTAGGCATTATCTGATAATGGTGATAGTCATAATCACAATCAAGTGAAAAATACACTGAACAGAGCTCATTTCGTTGTTTTTTTCCCAACACCAACATATTTGGAGCTACACATCACAAACCTCCATTTCATTAATCACTTCGAAAATTGGTGAGTGAAGCATAACATTTGATAATCAAGTGAGACACTTGCATCCATACAACGGATGAGCAAATCTATATATTCTCATGTACAATCTGAGCAGTCTGTCAGTTGATTTTGATAGCTACTGCAAAAATTCACTATATATAACACAGACAAGCATTGAGATCTGTGAATAATTACTGGAATAGTACACCATAATATTGCATAAAGTTTACAACAAAGGATAAGCCAAACAGTTTGTAATAAGAGGGGGATATGTAGAAGCATACATGCGTGAAAAAAAACACTCACATGACTTTGCTGAAGAGATGTGCACATCAGTTACGGATTTGGGTACAGACGACAATGATGGGCTAGATGTTGGATGGTTATGATGACCGGTAGATGATAAGCAATTCAAATCTAACTGCTGGTTAGTATTAATAGGACTAATATTATGGTGAGATGTATTGGTAGTTACACTCAAACCTGAATGCGAATGACCATCATCTTCTGAGTCTGAACAAACATTTGATGGACTTGCTATACTACTGTTATCTTTACCCCCACCACCATAATATTCAGTAGAACTGGATATTGTCGTACCAGAAAAAGAAGACATCAGATGTTTTGTACCGTGTGCATGTTGGCGAACTTTCGAATGTGATGATTTCCCAGAACCAGACGATGTTAACATGTGTGATTGGTTAGTTTCAGTATGCTGAAAATATAAACACAATAACAATAAAGTATATCCAGGAAACAGTAAAACTTGACCAATTAGTGAAGAGATTATATGTATATGGCGTATGAACTGACTCGAATGACTATTGGTTTAAGTTGTCAAATTTTACATCAGTGTAGGGACAGGAAGTTCAAAAAACGAAAAACAGAGTCGAAATAATAATATTAATAGTAGTGGAAACCAAATTATTATTATTTATTTGAACACATAAATATTGGTACAAGAGAGCGCCAATATATATGCGCCACACAAAACAATGGGAATTCGAAGAGAAGTAGAAAGAAAAAAAAAAAACTAAGGAACGCAAAAGAAAAAGAGAGTAATGACGAAGAGGTACAATCAGAAGAAATCTTTCAGGTAAAGGAGACACAACCACTTTTTATGAAGAAAGTAAAAGAAGGTTACAGCAGGATCGCCACTGGCTTCTATTCTGAGCCATATCTGATAACGTCTCTAGCCACTGTGTTGCACCATCTCTCGGACCCCAGCCAGGGAGTCGTGAAGGACCAACACAAGCCAGTCCTTTGCAGCTTTCTTTCATACCACGACACCATGTCATGCACTGACCACCTCTCCGCTTCTTCCAACCAGTCCCAGAGTCGGCAAATAATGCACGACGTGGAATTCTCTGGGACGACATTCGGAGAACATGTCCAAGCCACCGAAGTCGGTGTTTCAAGATGGTGACACCAATTGAGTTATCATCTCTGTGCCCGAACACACGATGCCGAACCTCTGCATTACTGACATGGTGTTGCCACTGAATGTCAGCAATCCTTCGGAGACAGCGATGATCAAACACAGAGAGTCGTCTAACGTCCTCAACTCGGAGAGGCCAGGTTTCACAAGCATAGAGCAAAACTGCTCTCACCGACGCGTTGTAGATCCGGCCTTTTACAGCCAGACTGACATCACGAAGGCGCCATAGATGGCCCAGATTGGCATAAGCCGCTCTGGCTTTCACTATTCGTGCATTGATCTCATCACTCACACCCCCACCAGCACTTATGCAGCTACCCAGATACACGAACTTCTCAACTACGTCTATCTGCTCACCATCCAGGGTGAGTACAGGATTGGGATCCTGCCAGTCTTGTAGAAGTACTTTGCACTTCGAAGGTGCAAAGCACATACCATACCTACGGACATTGATTGCCAACTGATTAAGTGCGGATTGCATGCCTTGGGCATTATCGCACAGTAAGACAATATCGTCCGCATACTCAAGGTCGAGAAGTCTTTCTCCAGGCAACAGATCCACACCACCATTACTTACATTCATCAGAGCTGTTTCCAGAATGTCATCGATGGCAAAGTTGAAGAGGAATGGTGAGATTGGGCAACCCTGCCTAACCCCACTGCTCGAATGGAACAATGGAGAGAGGTGGTTGTATGCCCTCACTCTGCCTGAGGTGTTTTTATACAGGGCTTTTAGGATGTTAATAAACTTCTCAGGCACACCCTTCTTCAATAGACAATCCCAGAGAACAGTTCTGTCCAACGAATCGAAGGCAGCCCTGATGTCAAGAAACACTACGATTGTTGGCCTTTGAAAAGTATGGCGGTGTTCTAACATTTGGCGGAGGGTGAAGATATGATCAATACATCCTCGACCAGAACGAAACCCAGCCTGCTCCTCGCGAGTCAATCTTTCTCGGGTTTTGAACAACCTACGAAGAATGACGGAAGCCAATAGCTTGGACGCAATCGGAAGTAAACTTATCCCCCGATAGTTGTTACAAGAACGACGTGAACCCTTTTTAAAGATAGGGACAACTATCGACTCACTCCATGACGTTGGTACACTCTCTAGATCCCAAACCTTTGTAAACAACGTCGTCAATTCCTTAGTCAAAAAGTCACCACCATCTTTAAAAAGAGCCGGAGGTAAGTTATCTGGGCCAGGTGATTTGTAACGCTTCAAGAGTTGGAGTTCCTTGTGGACTTCCTCCTCATTTGGTGGATCAGTCGTCACCGGCCATGGAGGGCAGGACAGTCTGACCGATGTTACCGGAGCAGCAGGCCAGTTGAACTGCCCTTCGAAAAATTCTGCCCATCGTCCAAGACGTCGATGGATGTTTGTGATTGGCATCCCATCATCCTCGCAGATTGTTTCACTCACACCAGACTTCTTGCTGCCAGTGGCTCGGATGAGTTGGAAGAGCTTCCGGTAGTTACCAGATGCAGCTGTTGCTTCCAGCTCATTAGCACGCATCGACCACCAGGCTTCTCGGTCCTTACGCAAGCTTTGCCCGATTTCCTTACGTAAAAACCTTCGTTTATGGTCAAACTCACGGTTACCCGGAGTAGACCGACGGGCTTCAATGAGTTGTAAGGAACCAGAAGAAACCCAGTGCTTAAAAGCGGGACGTTTCGCAAACCCACAACTGACTGTTCCCGCCATTTTCATGGCGTCATGCAATTGCAACCAATGCTCATCTATACTTTTCGGTGGAGTGGTAGCTAGCCTAGAGGCTAGCTCGGTTCGATACTTACTTGCAACAGAAGTTGCAACCAGCTTGCTAACATCAATCCGTTGATGGCGTTCACTTCGTTGTCCACTGAAAAGTAAGGCAAGATTGGCGCAGACCAAGGCATGGTCAGAGTCCAGATAGGTACTCCAAAAGGAGCGGCAGTCTTGTACACAACCACGCCAGCGGTAGCTGATCGCGATGTGATCAATCTGAGTCCAGGCTTGAGATGCAGAGGGAGGACGCCAGGTGGCACATCGGCGATGACTGTGCCGAAAGTTAGTGCTAGCCAGAAACAGGTTGTGGTCTGCGCAAAGTTGCAGTAGACGGTCCCCGTTATCTGACCTGCGACCAACGAGTCCCCATCGGCCACCTAAACGACTCTCTTCTGTGCCTAGACGCCCGACCTGAGCATTCAAGTCTCCGGCTAGTACTACAATATCTGTCGAACGCACTTTCTGGAGAAGAACTGATAACTGGTGGTAAAACTCATCCTTGATTGCATCCGGGCTGCAATCTGTCGGGGCATAGGCGGAGATGACGAAAAGACATCGTTTCTCACGCCGATTTCTTCTCACTTTGATGGAACTTTCTAATCTAACAGCACATAACCGACTGTTAATGGGGATCCAATCGACTAGTGCTGCCTCAGCTCTAGCGCTTAGTGCGACACCAACGCCAGCAAAACCAGACGAAGATGCCACAGGGTCCCCGGATAAGCGCACGTAAAACAAGCTTTTCGAAGCGACAGATGGAGATCGAATTTGTAGTACTTCGCCAGAGTCTTGAATACGGGTCTCGGATAGACAACACACGTCGATATTAAGACTTTCCAAAGACATAGCCAGCCCTATCTGTTGTCCGACCTGCATAAATGTGCGAACGTTGAAGGCAGCCAGCCCATGTGCACCATTGGTTTGGAATCCGGTTAAAGCGCCGGACATTCGCTTCTCGTCCTCTCATTTTCGTAAACAACACCCCCGCCACGAGAAGGCAATGAGTAGGACTTCCCTGGCAGAGGCTATATACGCGTGGCCGTGTGAGAGTATTTCGAGAGGGAGAGCGGAAAGCAACAAAACAGAAACTCAAGATTTAGATGAGAATAAGTCACAATAAACGAAGAGGAAGACAAGCAAATCACCAAAAGCGAATGAAGGATACAAAATAATACTTGAATGTCCAACACTTACAAGATGTTAAGAAATGTGTACACATTCATCATTACAACTAATTTCGACTCATCACCTAGTTAACAAACAACATAGACAGACTACAGTTGTCTCACAAACAACAATCAAGGAGCCTGAATGGCTCAGATTAATAGCCATTGACTTCATGAGTTGACCTTATAAATCGATTTAGTTGCTCCTAACCTGTTTCTACCCTATATATATACTAACCTCCATGGAACACTGGTGTAGTCAGTGGTTGATCAAGCGTTACATATGCACCAACCCTATCACAGCCAGTGAAAGTTCATAATCTCACCAACCTATGCAACACTTTTACTTAGTACGCTAAATGCAACATCACCACTACTCACTCAATGTTCTCCATTAACGACAGCGATGACGTATATACCTATGATCAAATAAGCAATCGGGAAATAAAAATTATACTCGACAAAGAGGGAAATCACTTTAATTCACATAATACAGTTACCACATTTACAAAGTACTGTTTAGTTGACCATAATTAGATAGGTTGACACGACCAACCAAATTAAGCAACCATCTATCAAATGTACATCCCATTAAGTGAAAACCAGTTGGCAAAATATAGGCAACGATCGTGTCGAAAGATAAAGGTTCAAATTTGAGAGAATGAATTTTCCAAATGTTGAACACACTCATGCACCTTTCTGTGATACAGCGAATGGACACAAAAATCCAACCTCACAACTGCCTCCTTGCCATCATCGAACTGTAGTTCCGCATTCTCCTGATAACATAGTCCCTTAAGTGACCATGATCTGGCCTCATCTTAAGTGTAAAGGCTACACAAATAAGGATGTCAATCAGTAAGCATCAACGTAGGGCCTGTAACAGATATATACCGGCCCAAGTTGTCATAGCATAAAAGTATCACCATAAGTTTTTGGAGTGTCTTAAAAAAATACTCAAAGGTACAATTCCTTCAAGAAACTGGTCTGCTTGATAAGCTCCTGATATTCCTACGACACAATCCTTTCTACAAAATGTAACCTTTAAAAAATTACATCCAAAACATACTTGTTTGAGAAAACTGGATACCTCAGGGTCATGACACAAGTCCAAAGGTTTCTCACCCCTGTGGTTCGACACCAAAGGGTCGGCGTTGTAGTATATGAGCGCTCGAACAATACGCAGACATCCTACTCGCGCAGCACAATGAAGTGCCATTTCACCGCTTGTGTTTGAGATACTAGGATCAGCTCCATGTCGTAGCAAATAATCAACCATACGTGGAAGGTTCCGCACACATGCTTCGTGCAATACAGTCCAACCTACAAATTTAAGTGGAAATGCATGAAGAACAGCCCCTGTGATGAAATGAAATACGAACATGCATCAGTGATCGAAACAAAAGTCCGGTGGACTGAGATTAATGATCAAAGCCAACTATTTATATTGAGATACTAAGGAGTTCTACTTTTAAGTGGTAAATTCCACGTCTAAAAGGTCAAGCTGTGGGACAAATAGCCTTAACCAAAGCACGCACAAATCGTAGATTAATAGACAATAAAAACAGCCAATTAAGTTGATCCGCTCTAAACGTTTGTTTTATTCTGTCTATACACTGATTTACAACAATATAAAATACACAATTTATCCTGTATAACTTTAAGTCCCATACAGAAACACAATCACACGTTCTCAGTGATATACAACACAATTCCCTCTTTTCCATCGGTACACTTCCTTACCTGTTTCATCTTGCTCGTTTATGTTTACTCCTTCCTTTATCATTTGTTTGATTGAATCCAAATCTCCATTCTTTGCCAAGCGAATTAAACTCACATCTCGAACAGTTAAAGGACGTCTACTATCACGTTTCTCGGATCCTGAAAGTATAACATGACAATTAGTGTGTGAACAAATACTTTCAAAGTAGGGATTAGAATAATACATGGTCTCAAGCATGATTTGTACTAACGATGAGTTCAATGGACGCAAAAACCAGAAATTACTTTAGTCCCTAGTGGATAGACAATAACTCAGCTAAGCAATACACTCATTAGATAAATTAATAGGCCAGTAATAATTTCGTTTGGAGTTTGTAAAAACATTTTCACACAAACGATCCATCAATTCAAATAGTCGGATATGTTAGAAAAATGTACCACAGATGTAAGTAGCCTATGAGCCAATTGATAAAATTTAGATACACTTGTCGGTTTACCGTTGGTAAACTGCCCAACCCAGTAAGGAACAATTTCCATATTAATGAAATATTAGTAAACCAATATCACGAAAGCATCAAATGATATCTAGTTATAAGACTCAGTTCAAAGTATACGTAATGAACACAAGTCATTCTCCTTGCGACCAACACAACTTAAACGTACAGGATGCAATGGAAACTTGAGTATACCCCAACTCATTGTTTGTTTGATACAGTGTCTATCATTTCTGATTGCTAGTTTTCCTTGACATCCCATCTCTATACACTGGTTACTTACTAAACTCAAGAAATTACTGGTCAATTACATCTCCAAAAATGAATATCACAGAAAAGGTCTGAAAGCACAAACAGTTTCAAACAGGCACTTGTTTTAACGAGTAAACAACATATTATTCTACTCAGTGCTATATCAACTCCAATTGTCACGTATTCATGTATCATGTAAAACCACATGGATAAATAAACAAAGTCAAAGCAAGACTAGTGGCATGTGCATCATCTAGAGCGACACAAGTATTGGAAAGAGTAAGTCATTGGTACTGATTTAACGCAACAGTGCATAGTGTTCCCAGACAACAATACCATGGGTTGTACATGCCAAACTGTATGATATGTTTTAGGTCATGACCTATACCAACAATCAATGAGTAGATTTATCGATAGCCTGTTAGCTTGTCCATTTCAAGGTTAACTGAGCAACGTTTCGCCAAAAACATCCGCACTATATTTCTGATGACATCGTGCTGTTAGTCGATCCCATTTAGAAACCACTACTGGTAGATGTGCTAGAAAAAAAGAAGCTTACATTACTGAGAAGCACTCTGCGTCATTCAATCGAAGAAAACGTACAAATAACATAAACACAGACGTCTATTAAGGACCCTTCGCTAAAATACCAGTAACCATGTTATGTAAAACACTGATACAAGTCAATCATTATTTATAGTCGAACTTACATTGATACCACAGGATACTAGAGATCGAAGCTGCTACCTTGACGCGGTGGTCGGGCTTGCCTATCGTGATGACCCAACCGAGCTATATTGGCTGGAACATATGTTCCTGCAGGTTCTACCATGCCAGGCAGGTCGATTGGCGAACGGTAAGACTAAAAGCAGCAACTCAAGGTCTGAGGGCGAAGTCGTACTGCTGACTGTAGAGAGGTGTGACAGCAGTAAGGTGTTTCCCTCGGACAACCAGCATGACAGCGATGCTGCCTTCCCACAAAGAGGGGTGGGGTTAGAAAAGGTCGACCCTAAAAATGCACACCTCACCTTACCTCACGGATTTCCGTCTCCGGCGGTAAGGCCCTTGAAGAACGGAGCTAACACGTCAAAAACCTTCCACAAAAAGGCCGTGCGCGACCGGCCTCAAGCAGTTGTCCCTTGGGCTCTGCGGTCACGCTCCCAGGTCGTCAAGACCAACACTAATCCAATTTCCTTTTCAGGTTCATCAAGAAATACCCTTCCACGGTGTGGGCAGCCGGGAAGTGACATCAGCCCTCATACCCGTAACAGCACAAGAGACCAAGGTGGTCACATTCAAATCCTTCCTACACCTCCTAATACCTCTCTTATCCTCCCGACTAACCCTCCTCACGTCTCTTTATCACCTCGCACCGCTAGGGCAAACGATTCGAGTACGTGGAACGCCATTCCTGGTCTCCTGAAACCACGCTCTAAACTACACGTAGGAGCTTTTAACGTACGAACACTTTGCCAAATAGGACAGCAGGCTTCCTTAGCTAGGACTTTAGAATCTCGCGCCATCGATGTGTGCTGCGTCTCCGAAACGCGCATACAGGATCCAAGTAGTGTCATTCATTTGACCTCACCATGCCAAAATAAAGAACCGACTCGATTTACGCTTCGTGTATCTGGAAGCCCTGATTCTGCTTCCCGTGGCCTCGCCGGCGTAGGTATAGCATTGAGTCCTAGGGCAGAACTAGCTCTCTTAGAGTGGATCCCAGTAAACAGTCGTTTGTGCGCTGTCCGACTGAACGGAACAGTAAGAATCCGGAAAGATAGGGACACTCGTCGTTGCCTCTTCGTCGTCTCTGCCTATTCTCCCACTGACTGCAGCTCAGATGATGTAAAAGATGAGTTTTACAGAAAGCTTTCGGACCTTCTCCGAAAAGCTAAGCGCTCAGATGTAGTAATAGTGGCCGGTGACTTTAATGCTCAAGTAGGTAAACTAAGCGATAAGGAAAGACACCTAGGTGGATCTATGGTGTCGTGGCTCAAAGAACAGATAATGGCGACCGTCTGTTGCAGCTATGCTCAGATAACTGCCTGTTCCTTGCAAATACTAACTTTAAACATAAGGAAAAACATCTTTTAACATGGCGACCCCCTAATTCGTCCCAACGTTGGACCCAAATAGATCACATCGCTATCAGCCACCGATGGAGGGGCTCGATAGAAGACTGTCGCTCATTCTGGAGCACATGCCTAGATTCAGGTCATGCTCTAGTGCGAGCGCGTATTTGCTTGCGTCTTACTGGACGTAGGAAAGATCCTGCAAGGAAACCTCTTAGGGCCTACTTAATGATAGTCAAGCTAAGAATATATTTCAGGAACAACTAGGAAAACAGTTAGGCAGCCATGTATGTGATGCCCACCCCGAGGCAGCATGGAACGATATCCGAAAAGCTGTGGAAACAGCAGTGATATCTGCTAGTAAGGTAAACCGTAAAGTTAGGGAGCAACGCTGGATCTCAGCAGCATCTATCGCACTGATAGATGCTCGAAAACTCATTCCACCTGGCTCTGAACATAATGAAGAGCGGAGTCAGCTTAAGCGCAAGCTGACAAGAAGTCTACGCAATGATCGCGAACAGTGGTGGGTAGCGAAAGCAAGAGAGATGGAAAAGGCAGCGGCAATAGGTAATAGCAGACAATTGTTTAGACTCGTTAAGGAAACCGGAATTAGGAACCCGACCGTTAGCGAAACAATCTCAGAGAAAGATGGACATATTATTCATTGTCAATCCAGGAGATTGGATCGATGGGCAGAACACTTTAGGGATCAGTTCAACTGGCCTTCAGCCACACTTCGGTTTCCCACGATCTCCAGTCAACCTGAATGGCAAGTTAATGTAAGTCCTCCGTCTATTTACGAAGTTGAAAAAGCCATAGGAAATCTGAAACGAGGGAGAGCAGCAGGCCCTGACAGGTTTACTCCTGAGATTTTTAAGGATGGTGGTCCAGTATTAGCAATGAGATTAACCGAGGTCTTAGGTAGAATTTGGGAACTGGACGTAATCCCATCTGACTGGTCTCAATCACTGATTGTGCCAGTTTTTAAGAAAGGACAAAAGTCCTCTTGTGACAATCACAGAGGAATCAGTTTGACTAATATAGTGTCTAAAATATTAGCCTCAATAATACTTCGACGCCTAACTAAAGCTCGTGAAGAGCAGACTAGAGAAAACCAGGCTGGTTTTCGACCCGGACGTGGTTGTATCGATCAGATATTCACACTACGTCAGGTTCTAGAACAGAGACACACATTCAGACGCCCCACAATGGTAGTATTTCTCGACCTTAAGGCGGCATTCGACTCCGTTGATCGTAAGGTTCTATGGCAGTGTTTGTCACTGAAAGGAGTACCAAAGAAGTACATTAACCTTATAAAGGCTCTCTACTCGAACACAACTGGTAGAGTGAGAGCTTATGGCGAACTGTCATCAGAATTGATTACCTCAAGTGGTGTTCGTCAGGGCTGTCCACTCTCCCCATTCTTGTTCAACTTTGTCATTGACGTACTTTTAGAGATAACACTCTCCTCATCTAAATTTACAGGGGTTGAACTTCTACCAGGAGGTTCACTTGTTGACTTAGAATATGCAGATGACATAGTTTTATTTGGTGAAGACGCTGACAAAATGCAGAGTCTTCTGACCACTCTAAGCAACAATGCAAGCATGTTCGGGATGCGATTCTCTCCCTCGAAATGCAAAATGTTGCTTCAGGATTGGGTTACATCGACACCCGAACTAGTGATAGGGAGTGAAGTAGTTGAGTGTGTCGACCGCTTCACTTATCTTGGAAGTCTCATCAGCCCTTGTGGTTTGGTGTGTGACGAAATCTCAGCACGGATACAGAAGGCTCGACTAGCTTTTGCCAACTTGCGTCATTTATGGCGTAGGCGAGATATCCGTCTATCAACCAAAGGACGTGTTTACTGCGCAGCAGTTCGTTCCGTCCTACTTTATGGCAGTGAAACATGGCCGGTAAGAGTAGAGGATATCCGTGGGTTACTAGTATTTGATCATAGGTGTCTTCGAAACATTGCTCGTATATCATGGGACCATCGAGTAAGTAACACAGTTGTTAGGAAACGGGTACTAGGTAAGGATGGCAAATCAATTGATGAAGTAGTGAAACTTCATCAGTTGAGATGGCTGGGACACGTGTTACGTATGGCCAACGACCGACTGCCTCGACGTGCTATGTTCAGTGGTATAGGAGTAGGTTGGAAGAAAGCTAGGGGCGGCCAAACCAAAACATGGCACAAATCCATGAAGTCACTGACAAGTGGACTGAGTCATGTTGGTAGGTGTAGACTACCTGGTTGGGGACCGCGAGATGACAGCAACCGATGGTTAGAGACCCTGAATGACATGGCTCAAAATCGTTTGCAATGGCGCAGGTGCATCCACTCTCTGTGTTCTCCCAAATTCTAATCTTCTGAATTCTTCATGTCCCTTTTTTCCTCTTTCCAAATTTCTTTCACTGTATTATACTCTTTAAATAACATCTCCAAACCCTAATCTTCCCGATTACTACTTATACTCTTATTACCTCTATCACTACGGGATTTGAATCGACAAGTGCATCTCTGTGCTAATGTGGTGTGGCAACTCGAACTGATGTACGTACGTACGAAGTTCTACGTTGTTACTGACTGACTGACTGACTAGAGATTTCCCACTGACATCAGTAAACATCCAGACTACCAATATGTGTAACAGAACACAGAAAAAAATCAGCCAATATATTGTGTCACTAATGTTTGCAGATGGTCATAAGAGAACATTTATTATTAGTTATTTTATTTGAACACATAGATATTGGTACAAGGAGGCACCAAATACATATGCGCCACACAGATCTCATTTGATATGTGTGAGGGCTGTGATACTGTCCGGGTGCCCAAACCGGAGCAGGTGGTTTTATTAGGGGACCACACCCGGAACCTTCGACCTGAAGGTCTGATCCACAAGGCAGTGGAGCACCGTAAGGAGATGCAGTCCCATAGTAGCCGGTGGCCAACGATTGGTTCATACACCATTTGTTCTTTCAGAATACTGGAGCCCATGTGCACCGTTGGTTTGGGATCCGGTTAAAGCGCCTGACATTCGCTTTCCGTCTTCTCAATCTCGTAAAAAACACCCCCGCCACGAGAAGGCAGTGATTAGAACTTCCCTGGCAGAGGCTGTGTGGGCGTGGCCATGTGAGAGCATTTCGAGAGGGAGGGCTCACCCCACTCTTGGCCATACCAGGACATCTAGGGACACAAGAGAACATAGGTTAGCTTTTAGGATTAAAGCCCCCTTCAGTACAGCCGAGGGCAGGGAGAGTTCGCCTCCTCTCAAGAGGCTCTCATATGTTCACTCGTACATAGCGACTGGCAAGGAAGTCCTACTCATTTCTTTCCCACGGCGGGGGTGTTGTTTACGAAATTCAGAGTACGAAAAGTGAATGTCCGGACCTTAGACCGGTTTGGTGGGTACGAAGAATCCACCTAAGAGAGTTGGAAAACCCTGATTCTTAACCAACGGTCAACATGGGTCTCAGGTTCATGAGGGAACAAATGTTTTACGAACCTATTCTTGGCCACCGACTACCATGGGACTACATATACTAACGTTGTCTCAATGACTTGAGGATCAATCTCCAAGTCAAAGGCTCGGGGGATGGCTCCCCAAGAAAACCACATACTTGTTTGGACAACCGCGAGGTATTCCAGCTCTCACAAAAATTTTGTGTGGCGCCCATACATGGTGGTGCCACTTTGTACCAATGTCTGCGTACAAGTTTTTGTGCCCGTTGATCTGACTCCATTTTAGACTGTATGGAAAATGCCTGGGAAGCCAACTTCATTTCAAGCCGGGCATTACTCAATATTTATAGGCAGACAAGATAAACTACAGACATGTGATGAGTCATGGGACATGAAGTGTACACACATATACGCTCATGTGAAAACAGTCAAGGCTGATAAGCGAATAATTAACAAGGCCAAAATATGACTGAAGTAGAATGAACAGAATGGAATGTCCGGAAACTAGAATAAGATATATTATGGGCTAAAACTAATGACTAACACTACAAAGTAAACGAATATAGGACTAAAACGGTTTGTACGTACTGCACCATCCAAAAAATCTATTGGCATCCAATAATTAATCAAGTGCTTAATGCACAATAAAAAGAAGATTCCGGCACACATAAGCTTATCAGAGCCCAAAAAATATACCGTGAGCTCCAAGTCTGATTTTAACGGTCACTGATGGTAGATTAGTGTTATCATAAAGTAGAAATCTAAAACGTATTAAGTCGGTCGTAATTACCCCTATCATTGATACTTAACGTGAAGAGATACTGAGACGCATAATACATCCACGTAACTAGTCAATTCCTAAATATTAGTTCGAATTCAACCTTTAAAACACAACAGCATCATGAGACAGAACACAGGCTTACATAAGAGATTATAATCTATTTGCATAAGATCTCAGTGACTGGACATGAGCACAGTTATATCACGACCCTCTAGCAGTACTGACCTTCCTGATCCTTAACCCTTTTTCTTTCGTCTCTCATCACGACCTTCAAAGAAGCCGCTCAAAACTTGTTAAAAGTGCAACAACTGCAAAGTTGGGTACGGATTTCTGGGGACTATATGTTTAATAAAGTCTTACGTGACTTTCATTGTATTCTCAACCGTTCGGCTGAATATTTAGGGGACCCTTACAGCATGAAAGCACTATCCATTTTTATGGTAATAGTTATATCATGCTGTCTAACCAATCAGTCAGTCTTCAGTCTCCAGTAATAAGGATAGTAGATTGGTGAACCTGTGTTAATCCTGACACATTGCTTTCCAGTGAAGGTCCAGCTTTTCCTTGAAAGTATTCACTGGTGAGGCTGATACCACTTGTTCGGGTAAGGCGTTCCAATCATTGACTACTCGATGAGAAAAACGGGACCCTACTTTAAGTTTATTAGATCGTGGTTTATGAACCTTCTTGCTATGACCGCGGAGATTATTAGTGCTCGAGGGAGCAAAAAGATAAGACATATTAACACTCGAATCATAATTAAAGACACGAAATATCAGTATAAATCACCTCGTGTTCTACGATACGACAAGGGGAAAAGATTTAGGCGTTTTAAACGCTCATCGTAAGAGAGTCTAGAAAGACCCTTCACTAATTTCGTTCCTACATGCTGGACATGCTCAAGTGAGTTAGTATCCTTTACCGGACATGGGCTAGCTGCTTGAATACAGTACTCTAAATGTGGCCTTACATAGGTGGGATATTAAATTCGAAACATTTTCTCGTCAAAAGATTTGAACGCTCGGCGAAGTGACCATAACGCGCGAAAACGTTTGACAGTGGCTGCGTTGCAATTCGTAGTTGTTTTTAAATCATGACTTATAATTACTCCTAAGTCTTTATGTTCTTGAACTCTTGGAAGAGGTTTATCATCAAAAGTATAACGGTAACTATTACCGTGACCGATGTGCATTAGCACACTCTTCCTAGCATTGATTTCTAAGCCCCACTCTCGAGCCCATCTAACCAAATCGTCTAAGTCAGCTTAGAGATCCAGATGATCAGCCGCACTCTTTATTGTTCTCCTGATTTTTACGTCATCCGCAAACAATAATGTAGACGATTTAAGTAACAGCGATAACTCATTAACGTAGAGAAGGAGAAGCAGAGGGCCTAAGATGGTGCCTTGGGGTACACCACTTTTGACTGGCTTCACATTGACCTGCACTCTCTGTCTGCGGTCATATAAGAAGTTTCCCATCCACTCCTGTACAGTATCTATTATTCCTAAGCTCGTGAGCTTCTGCATAAGACCTAATTGTGAAACCTTGTCAAATGCTTTGCTAAAATCTATGAATATCACATCAACAGACAGACCGTTATCTAAGGCTGCTGTCCAATCCTCTCTCGCGATAAGTAAGTTAGTCAAGCATGAACGCTTGTTGCGAAATTCATGTTGCTCAGGAGCTAACAGATTGTGTGAATCTATGTGGCTTAGCAACCTCACTCGAATTATCTTCTCAAGTAACTTAACGACAATGCTAGTTAGACTGACAGGCCGGTAGTTAGATACGATCTGTCTCTGACCGTCCAATATAAGACTTACTAAAATAGTTTGAAAAGGTTCCAGCTTTTGCTCGACCTGATTCAGCTAGTTAATCTGAATTTTCGTGTAACAGTAACGGGGGAATAACATCACTACGTTTCATTCGCCGTTTAACATATGGAAACAGAATGAACAGAAACTAAGAAGTTTATGAGTTCTTGTCCTTAAAGACTTGTCACTCATGGACCTAACAAAAATACGAGAAATTGAAAACGAACTAAAACTAAAATTAGATGCTAGCTAGAGGGACCTTGGAATTGTAAATTTTCGGGTGATGAGGCATTGACAGAGAATGATGCTGAAGCCACTTTGAATACGGCACCAGTCCATTTATATGGGCTCCGGCTTCGTTACACAAATGCTTGAAGCCTATTCAACAAGCTATGGAAGCTAGATATCACTTGGACTACACCAAGGGGTCTGGGAATCTCCCTACTGTGGTTCGGTGAGGAGGTTACTGGCTATTTACGAGACAAAGTCTCATCACTGGGAAGCTCGAAATATTTCTACCTCGACCCTTCTCAAGCCTAGAAAGTTATACGGAGAAAAATCTGCTAAAGAATTTATAGAACACCCTACACTCTTATGTATATTGTGTCATTTGTATCAATTTGATCTTGCCTGTAAACTGGCATGCCTCATGTAACAAACTGTTATTTGAGAATAAATTATTATTATTATTACTCGTACATAAACCAAAGAACAAAGAGAAGAAATATTCCGGCACTATGCGGACAGAGAAGTACTGCATCACTAGTGAGGAACGATTATGGTAAAGCTCGGGTATTCCCAAATTTAGCAATGTACATACCTTGAAGATGCCCTCCCATTCAGTTCATTCAAACCCCCTCCCACAAACACTGGACAATGTGATCATTAAAGAACTCGGTGTCTTTGGTCTGACAAATAAGCTCAGTATAGGCAAATCCATGGGACTCAGTTAAATGCATCCTAGGTTACTAGAAAAGTTAGCAAATTTTGTCGCGAATACCCTAGTTATATGTTCCAACTTATCTGTAACCCATGGTCGATTACCATAAGACTGGAAGAATGCTATAGTGAGTCCTGCCTTCAAACCAGGTACGAGACATAAACTTAAGAACTATCGACCGGCAAGTCCGGCCAACGTGATTGTCAAAAATTTATGAAAGATTATTGAGAAGGATTTGTATAATTATCTCGACGTAAACCGGATTTTTCTGAAAAGCAGCACGGCTTTAGAATAGGTTATTCATGTCTCACAAACATATTAGTAGCCCACGAAAGCTGGTGCACTCTTAAAGATCAAAATTACCTACAGATGTAGGGGATAATTTTAAGTCATTTGCCATTTTAATTCCACGTAGCTTATCCTAGCTTCCAGACAAGCCGACCTTTAATATTTCTTAAACCCATTTTCAACCTTGTCACTTATCGGTTTATTTATTCTGACTGTTTTTAGATGAGCATATGTGTGTACAAAATCAAGCACCCGGGAATTAATTGCCATAATGCCTATTTTATTCTAGATGTTTTTGGATCATTGCTACTCCTCACGAATGGCGTTATATATGTTGTCTACTGCATAGTCTAATCATCGAAAATATTCCAGGCGAGTTTTATGATTTCCCTTTCCTGGTTAATTTACTATGATTTCAGCACTTCTCATCTTAAATAGATTACTTTGCTAGTCTGGTTGTATATAATTATTACGAGATACACTCAAGGCTTTTTGTTAGAAATATTTAATACTTTCATACTGCCAAATACTATTAAGAAAGTGTGTTATTTAAAAACAATTCTTATTTCTAGTTTCCTATTGATGATGTCACAGGTATTCAGTGTTTGACAACGCTTCTACCAGTAACACCTTCTAATGTATTTCGTTCCCGCCCAGAGAAATCAAAAGACAGAGTCGAGGAGATCGGAAGAGTATATTTGGCGATGACCAATATATCGGAATTCTCTGATCTAATCTGGCTAGCGATTGCGGTTGATGTTGAGCACGGCGTCACCACACGTGATCTGGTGCGGATGCATGACCGAGCGCCTTCAGCTAGATGAGTCCACTAAAACATATGGTCAGCATCCAATGTCGAAAACTTAGGGCTATTTATTTTGGGGATTCATTTACCGCTACAGATCACTCCCCCCCTAGTGGGTCAGTGACGACCCTAAGACGTGGCCAGCCAGAAGTTTAAACCCAACGAGTCTGTCGTTGGTAAACACTCCTCTGATAGCTTACTAAATTTAGCAGCGTCTGTTCGTCTTTCCTTACTATATGGGACGGAGGTACAACATAGTAAAAAAAGAAAATGTACAATGAAAATTTCGGATCCTCATAAACGTCATTGTTCTTTTTCCAGCCATCCTGGAAAAGAAAAAAGAAAATGTAAGTGTATGTCGAAAATACACTCGTATGTGCGTAAAAACACAATGTCGGCGGAAAAAAATGGAAAATAAACTCATGAACACGTAATAGCGTTAAAAAAATTGTTTTTTTAAATAGAAATAAAAATATATAAGCATATTAAAATTGTTTTGTTTTTTTTTTAAAAAAATAATATAAAATGTCGAGAAGTGCCTTACGTGCAATAGTCGTTTAAATGTTCTGGAAATCTCACCCTTCTTCGAGAACGCGTCGTTTTAAGTTTATTTTCGGATACTGTCGAAGTATCGTGTGTGTTGGTTGTCGGATGAGGTATTATAAGTGTCGGAGTCGTGTCGTTCGATTGTACCGAAGGAAAATCCACGTAGATAGGATTTCCTTCTAAGTACGCTGCTTTGAGGCGATCGATACTGATGCTATCGTTGGTTCCGTTCTTATCGACTATATAGTACTTCGGTTCGCGTTGAAGAACTTTGAAGGGTCCTTCGTATGCTGATTCGAATGGTCGTCGATGCGAGTCTCGACGAACGAAAACGTGTGTACTATATCGTAAGTCAGGTTGAACGAAAACATCAGTTGATTGAGGTCGAGTGGAAGCAGGTTTAACTGAACGCATTGCGTTTGTAAGCCTGTTCGTGTAGGAGGTTAGATCCATGTTCATTGAAGAGGATGAAGGATCCACGAATTCTCCTGGAAGTCGAAGTGTCGTTCCATAAACGAGTTGAGCCGCAGTGTATCCAATGTCAGCTTTCACTGCATTGCGGATACCTAGTAAGACGAGTGGAAGAGCGTCGGTCCACTGTGAAACGTTTGCAGCTGATAGCGAAGCTTTCAGTTGTCGGTGAAAGCGCTCTACTAACCGATTTGCTTGTGGGTGGTAGGCGGTCGTTCGGAAGCCAGTGATTCCTAAAAGTGTGGTCAGACGACGGAAAAGATCGGATTCAAACTGACGTCCGCGGTCTGTAGTGATGGTTGAAGGGCAACCGAAGTTTGCTACCCATCGTTCGACGAAGGTGCGGGCCACTGTTTCAGCAGTGATGTCCTTGATAGGTACTGCTTCTGGCCATCG